GGCACGGGTACTGGTGGGAAGTGAGCACCAGGAGGCCTTTGAGACTGGCAGATAGTGCCAGAGCCAGACTTCTGCCCCTACCATGTCCTCCCCATCTCCTGTCCTGCAGATATCAGCCTGTGTGCCTCCTACAGCAAGCAGGGGCAGGATCCTTGGTCCTTAGCCAAGGTCCAGTGCCAGACAGGCCTCCTGGGCAGAAGCAGGTGTCTCAGGAAGGGATGTCCCACGATGATTCCTAGAGGGGCAGGTGGACAGTGGGGTGTGAGCTCCAGAGACTTCCTGCAGCACTGGCCATTGCCTGGCTACACTCCCCTAGAACAGCCCCAGGCTCCCAGTGTCTAGCCCAGGTTCTCTGCCAGATGAACCCAGATGAGCCAGGCAGCCTGATGCCAGCAAGTTTCCTCTTCTACCTTGCCAGTCGGTGCCAGCCTTGGCTCCCTGCATAGTAAGCCTTAGAGTTGGAGGCAGCTCAGAGGTGCCATCTGCACTGTGCGAGTGTGTGGAATCCTCAGGAGCCAGAGGGACAAGAGGCCCTGTGCTCTGGCCAGGCAGCTCTGATACAAGAAAACTGCCACTCTGTGACTTCCAGAGAACAGCCAGACTTTGTCTTACCCAGCTCCATGATCATCATCTGAGGCAGAGGGCCTTACAGGGCCTCCAAGGGGCTTGGAGACTCATATTGTGTGGATGTAAAATATATAAATTGGGACTGACAAGATGGCTCAGCAGGTAAAGTCAATTTCCACCAAACCTGAAGACCTGAGTTCCATTCCCAGAACCCACCCAATATGGTGGAAGGAGAGAACCTGTTCTTACAAACTGTCCTCTGACTTCCACACACATGCCATGGCACATGTTCCCTCTAAATAAATAAAATTATAATAAAAATTAATATTTATATATAGATGAATTTTTCTCCTTGTCTGAGACCCAGGGGCTTTACCTCCCCAGCAGTGGTGAACACCCCTTTGCTTTCTAAATCCATTGTCCGAACTTTGAAAGGAGTCATGCTCTTCAACTGACTTAAGTCCGATGCTTCGTGTAGTGCAGGCCCCAAGGGAATACTGCAGACAGGGGCAGACAGCATGCTCACATCAGGCACCAGCTCCACGGACAAAGTGGCAAAAGCTGTAGCAATTTTTAAAAATGATTAATTTGTAGCCGGGCGCGGTGGTGCACGACTTTGATCCCAGCACTTGGTCTACATAGTGAGTTCCAGAACAGCTGGGGCTACAGGGATACAGGGAGACCCTGTCTCAAAAAGACCAAAAAAAAAAAGATAAATTTGTTTTTATGTGTACAAATATTTTGCCTGCACCTATGTAAGTGTACCACATGCATTCACCGCCTACAGAGGCAAGATGAGAATGTCAGATCCCTTGGAACCGGAGTTAGGGAAGGCTGCTAGCCACCATGTGGGTGCTGGGCACCCAACCTGAGTCATCTGCAAGAGTGGCCAGTGCTCTTGCCCCTGAGCGGTTTCTCCAGCCCCTCCCCTACCCCTTTTCTTTGATACAGTGCCTTATATAGCTCAGGGTGGCTTCAAACTCTGTATATAGGCAAAAATGACCTTGAATTCCCGGTCATCATGCCCTCACCTTCCAAGTGCTGGGATTGCTGATGTGTACATATGCCTGGTTTATGCACTGCTAGGCATGCAACTCAGGCCCACTTGCATGCCAGATGAGCATTCTACCAACTGAGCTACATCCCTCCCTGGTCTTTTTTTAAAATATTTTATTTATCATTTTTTAAATTGTATGAGTGTTGTGCTTATTTTATATGTATGAGTGTTATGCCTGCATGTAGGTAAGTGCACCTGTGTAGTGCAATGCCCTCGGAGGACAGAAGACCCTGTCGGATCCCCTGGAACAGGATCCCCTGGGTGTATTGCCTGCGTGTATGTGAGTGTACCCGTATTGTGCGATACCCATGGAATCAGAAGAGGACGTTGGATTCCCCTGGAACTGAAGTTAACAGATGATTGTTAGCCATCATGTGGGTGTTGAGAATGGAGCCCGGGGCCTCTGCAAAAGCAGTGGGTGCTCTTAACAGCTGATTTTAGATAGGAGGATCTTACTCTGTCATTCAGGCTGATCTGGAACGTGCTGGTCTCCGGATTTAGACCTTCACGGTCCCCCAAAGGGAGTGCTGGGATTATAGGCGGGTTCCACCACACCCAGCCAGGTGGAGCTAGTTGAACTAAAGCAAACACTATAATATTGGATTACAACCCAAAGCATAAAATAAGCACACTGGGGAGTTCATGCTGACAGACACGAAGGGCAGGCTGGATGAATGAGGGAGAGGTGGAGACTGTGCTCCAGGGAGGAAGGAGTCCCTCCAGGCTTGAGGGTCTAGCCCAGAGCTCAAGTGCTTGCCCAGCTTGTGTGGGGCCCTGGGTTCCATGCCTAGCACCGAAAAAAGTTAACCATCTCAAGCACCCCAGAAGAAAAGATTTTTAAAAATATTTTATTCTTTTTATTGTATGTGTGTGAGTGTATTGCCTGCATGTGTGTCAGTGCATGCATGTCCTGCAGTGCCCACAGTCAGAAGAGGGCGTTGGAGTTCCCTGGAACTGGAGTTACAGAGGGTTGTTAGCTGCCATGTGGGTGCTGGGACTCGAACCCAGGTTCTCCACAAGAGCAGCCAGTGCTCTTCATGTCTGAGCTATCCCTCCATCCCCAAGAAAAGATTTTTAAACAGCGAGCCAGACACGAGAGAGAGTACATGCCTTTAAACCTAGTACTTGGGAGGCAGAGGCAGGTGGATCTCTGAGTTCAAGGCCATTTTGGTCTATATAACACATCCAGGTCAGCCAGGGCTACAGTAAAACCCCATCTCAAAAAACTTCTTTTTTTAAAAGATCCATACCATCCAGGCATGGTGGCTCACCGGTCATGCCAGCACTTTGGAAGGGGAAGCAGGAGGATTGCCTTGAGTTTGAGGCCAGCCTGAGCTACCATGTGAGATGTTGACTAAAATAAAGAAAGAAAAAGAAAAGCAAAACCAACCCCAGCGGTGAGTCACACGGCCATCACGTGCCCCTGACTTCATGTGCTGAGGACTATTTACCTCTGCGGTGTTCTTCCCCAAAGCCACAGTAACTCCTGTCTAGTCATGAGAAAAACACCAGATACGCCCAAATTGCAGGATTGTCTACAGTATACTGACCAGAACGCCTCAAAATTGCCCAGGTCATGAAAAACAAGGAAAAACTGAGACGCTGCCTCAAGACAGGATGATAGACGATGTGGATGATGGACCAGGAGAGGACACGTGTGGCAAACGTGAAACCCAGGCAACGTGCAGCTCAGTCATGTATAGATCAGGCCTTTGCGGTGTCCTGCAGGAGGGGGCAGTGGGAAAGGCAGGAAGGGACTGGCAGCCCTGCTGAGCCAGGTCACCGCCTGAGCATCTTAAGAGGATCCACAAACGAAAACCAAAACACAATAACAAGTCTGGGGCTGAGGATGTGGCTCAGTTGGTAGAGGGTTTGCCTAGCATGCACCAAGCCATGGGTTTGCTTCCTAGTACTTCATAAGTCTGGGATGAGTGGCATATGTCTGTCATCCCAGGACTGGATAGGTGGAGGCAGGGGATTAGGAGTTCAAGGTCATTCTCAGCTATGCAGGGAGTTTGAAGTCAGTCTGGGCTACATGAGACCCTGCCTCAGGAGACAAAAAAAAAAAAACAAAACAAGTTGAGTGTGGTGACACACATTTTAATCCCAGAACTTGGGTGGCAGAAGGAGGCAGATCTCTGTGAGTTTGAGGTCAGCCTGGTCTATACACTGAGTTCCAGGCCAGCCAGGGCTACACAGTGAGAACTTTTCTTAAACAAAACAAATCAGCAAGAGTGGGGCATGGTGGTGCATATGAGTAGCTCAGCACTTGGAAGGCTGAAGCAGGAGGCTCAGGAGTTAAGGTCATCCTTGGCTTCACTGTGAGTTTGAGGGGGAGGGGAAGGGGAAGAAAGACCTCACCCCGAAGCTTCTGTTCCACTTCTCCCAGTCTACCACGATTGGAACCACTCATCTCTTCTGCCCCTCCTTCCCTCTTTTCTGAGGGCTGAAGAAAGCATTCAACCCCAAGGCATTCTACCCTCTGAGCGAGCAGTGGCCACCCCAGCAGCCAGTTCTACTTGGAGGCTACCACAGTCTACTACAGTCTTCACAAGGTGGACCCTACTGGGAGGAAGTTAAGTCAAAAATCATTGCCTTTGGGGCTGGAGAGATGGCTCAGCCGTTAAGAGCACTGTTTGCTCTTGCAGAGGACCTGGGTTTGGTTCCCAGTGCCCACATGGAGGCTAACAACTATCCGTAACTCCAGTTCCAGGGGATCTGACACCCTCCACAGGTATTGCACACATGTGATAACCACACATACATTCAGGTAAAACACTCATACACATAAAAATAAAATAAACATTGCCTTTAATCCCAGCACTAGGAAGGCAGGAGCAGGTGGATCTCTACCAGTTCAAGGTCAGTCTGGTCTACATTGTGAGTTCCAGGCCAGCTGGGGCTACACAGTGAGTTCAAGGTCAGCCTGGTCTACATAGCAAGTTCCCAGCCAGCCAGGACTACATAGAGAGACCCTGCTCAACACCACTACCCCTAGAAATAAAGCAATGGGCAGGAGGGGTGTGTGCAGATGGTTTCACCAAGGACTATGTTGATTTGGGTGGGCTCCAAATGCAGACATGGGTTCATAGAGGGTGGCAGAGGGAGACATAGAATGAAGTACAAGCTGCAGGACTGGGATGATACAGCTGCAAGTGCAGGTTCACCAGCAACCATCAGGCATGCAGAGGCAAGGAGGAATTGTCTCCTGAGACCCTGAACAGGTTCTTCACAGTCACCACCTGGAGCTTAGTCCAGGAGGCTGATTTTAGATCCTGGACTCTGGAGCTGTCAGAAAGGAGTTTCAACTCCCTCCCCCTCCCACCCCCACCCCCAGTTGGTGATGTTTTCTTGTAGAAGCCAAGGGAAGCAAACATAAGAATTCCTGGAGTCTCTTTAATATTCAAGCCTGCCTGGGTCTGCCCACAGGGCTCCCTTGCGGGTGGGACACAAAAGACAAGTGACAGAGGAGCCTGGGAGCTTTCATGGGGAGAAAGAAAGGCCAGTGCAAAGTCTGCATACAGAGGCAGACAGGGTGGATTTAGAGAATCCGCAGCCCCATCACCTCCCATCAGGGAGGCAGCAGAGAAGCCCCCAGGCACTTACAGGTCCCATAACCCAACAGCACCTGTGGGACCCAGGAGGACCTGCAGGAGAGCTGAGAGTCCCCCAGTTAAGGGCAGGGCAGTGGGAGGGCACCCTCCCCAGAAGCAGCAGCCTGCCTGGCCGCCCAGTGGATGTCATCCGAAGCTCAAGCCAGAGGGTCCCCCAGCTTGCTGCTGGCTTTGGTGACCCTCTGGTTCTCACGGACGTTCCTAAGGCGAGCGCTGAGGCTGCTGATCTCCTCCACGTGAGCCTGTGGCACCCATCCCTTCTCACCATCGGCCAGGCGGACTCCCTCCAGCCAGCCTGGGGACACATATCAGGATCAGGGTAATCAATGAGCTTCCAGGCTGCCTGGGAGGGAGCAACTGGACCCGATGCCAGCCTAGGGCAAGGTCACATCACCTCAGCCTCACCTAGCTCCCAGGAAGGACCCTGCCTCTAGCTGTCTCGGAGATGAACTTCTGATGTGTTCTTTTCCTGACATCCTTGGGAAGGGAATTTCCTACTTACCCACATCATTCGGCACCATCAAACAGGAAGCTCCTCCTCTGATCTAACTTGATTCCCACTTGCTGTTGCTGATCAACACTTGTATTCTCTATGACAGGTTGCCCATCTAACTACCTCCTACCACCAAGCCCTGTCCAGGAGGCCCACGCTCACCATCACTGGTCCGGGTCTTCACCGCCAAGATGTCAGTCTTTTCCAAGGTCAGCTCATCCGGCTGCAGGGCCTTGTAAGTCCTCACACACTGAACCTGAGGGCGGTCTGATGGTCCAAAAGAGGGTCAGGGAGTCCCCAGGGCAGGATGGGGGACAGTAGGAAGAAATAACATGGGGAGGGAACTACAGTGTTCTGCCCACCTTGGCATGAGTCCCCCTCACCTAGGAGCATCAGCCTCCTCTCCCCTAGCTTTTTGCGGGTCTGACCAAGGCCACTGACCTTCTTGCTCAATGAAATTTCTTGCTATTAGACTCTAGACCCCCACATGAAGCCAGGATGTCCATCACATGACCCTTGACAGCCCTCTAGAGTGCTAATGTTCAAATCTAAAGTCTTCCCAAGATCGCAAGGCCTCATGTGGTCTGCAAGAGCCCTGGATCTCCTCATCTGCCAAATGGGCATCTTGCTGGTCCCTGGACACCCACTGCAGTCTTGCCTTAGGGCCTTTGCACTGGCTGTTTCTTTTGCCAGGAGGACCCCTCTCTATCTTCAGGGCCAAGTGATGTTTCCCAGTGACTGCTGTTGACTACCTGTTTGGAGTAGGGGTCTCATCCTTGGCCCCAGTGGGACTACCAGCCCAAACTGGGAATCCTTCCATTCTAGCCCTCGGCTTTTTCTGACAGAGTAGGTGGGCTGGGTGTTTGAGCTAAGAGTGGTGGCTCATACCTGTAATCCCAGTACTTGGGGAGGCTGAGTCAGGAGGCTTGCTAGGAATTTAAGCCCAGTCTGAACTCTATAGTAAGACAGTGTCTTGAAAAGAAAGGCAGGAGCCAGGCGTGGTGGCACACACCTTTAATCCCAGCACTTAGGAGGCAGAGGCAAGTTGATCTTTGTGAGTTCAAGGCCAGCCTGGTCTACAACTCACTATGTAAACCAGGCTGGCCTTGAACTCACAGAGCTCCGCCTACCTCTGCCTCCTGAGTGCTGGGATGAAAGGTGTGTGCCACCACGCCCAGTGGGAAAAACTTTTTATATATTTTGTAAGATTTAAACAAAATTCTTTTTAATCTTGTGTGTATGACTGTTTCACTTGCATGTATGTATTATATGTGTCTACCAAGTATATACAGTGCCTGCAGTGCCAGAAGAGGGTGCTGGAACCTCCCCGAATTGGAGTTACATATGGTTTGGTTGTAAGTTACTATGTGAGTGCTGAACCTGGTCCTCTGCAAGGGCAACCAGTGGTCTTAGCTGCTGCTGAGCCATCTTTTCAGCAGAACTTTTTTTTTTTGAGACAGGGTCGTCCAGTAGCCTCCACCGACCTGAAGCTCACTATGTAGACAAGGCTGCTCTGAGTCTCACAGAGATCTGCCAGCCTCTGCCTCCTGAGTACTGAAATTAAAGGTGTGGGCCACCACACCTGACAAAAACCTTTTTGGAACTGATTTATTAAGATATAACAGAAACACTCTGAGATTCACTTGTTTCAAATACACAATTCAAAGCCAGGAGTGAAAGTGTATGCCTTTAATCTCAGCAGTCGGGAGGCAGAGGCAGGGGGATCTCTGTGAGTTCAAGCCCAGCCTGGTATACTTAGCAAGTTCCAGGACAGCTGGGGCTACAGGGAGACCCTGTCTCAAAAAGACCAAACAAACAAAAAACAAAAAAACCTCAGAAGGGAGGGAGGAATGAGGAAGAAAGGAAGGAAGGGAGGAAGGGAGGGAGGGAGGGAGGGAGGGAGGGAAGAGAGAGGCCACAGACTTGGGGACCAGACCTGCCTTGAATCCTGGCTTTGCTACATCCTGTTTGTGTGACCTGGGCAAGCTACTCGACCTTTCTGACCCTCAGTTTTCAAAGATGTGAAAAATGAAGAAATTGAGTCCACTGCCTAAGAGAATCACCATGAGGATTAAATAAAACGAGTGAAAATACAGAAGCCAGAGCCTGGGCCTGGCCCACGGCAGGTGCTTCGTGGAAATGAGGCTCCTTTCTCTCCCAGCCCAGCCCAGCCCCATGCCCCTGTGCAAACACCATCTGCAGCTGCCCACTGCCCACTGCCCAGCAGTGATTAGGCTACAGCCTGGCTTGCTAGCTTCACATCATTCCCAAGGGAGATACATGGATCCCACCCAAGCAGACTCCACACCCCATATACCCTGGACCGCTTAGCCCTGTCTGCTTTGCAACTGATACAAAGGCACAGCTGTGGGCTCTATACCCAGCTCTACACTTGACCTCAGGAAATCTCTTTTAACCTGCAAGATGGACTGCCTGTATCTGTGGGGTCAGCCTGACCATGTGCCCCCTGCCCAGCCCTCAAGGGTCCTCAAAACTACCCCAAAACATTCAGGGTCCCCCAGTAACATGACAGCCAGGGTTGGAGTGGGGTAAGGTATGGGGTTCCCAGCTCAGTGTGGAGTGGCAAGTTCTTACCTTCCCCCTCACTGATAACCTCCTTGTCCTCCTGGGGGTTGGAGGGCCGCAAGGCTGAGATCCATCGCTGCTTCTCACTTCTAGGAGGAGTATGTATGGTCACAATAGGCAAGGTAGAGTGGCCCAGGGCAGGGTGAGGAGCCAGAGCTGAGAGAGCTAGGGATGGGTCTAGACATCCTGAGCCCCATGTGCGGCCCCAGGCCTATGTCCTCAGCTCAGAGCTCCCTGCATCCCAGTTCTGCCTACTTCTGTCTCATTCTACTACCTTGATGCCAGGGACAGAGAGGCACAGAGGCTGGTGTCACCTGCTGGGACTCAGACACAGCTCTGTCCACCCAGCCTCAATCCTTGCCCCAGGGGGACAGACAGGCCCTTGCTCAGGACTCGGGGTACTCACTCAGTGCGTGCCCTCAGCAGCAGCTGGTGCCTGGCACGCTGCCCATGCAGCAGCCGAAGCAGGAACACGTGGCCCGGGATGCCCTGCAGCTTCAGGCTCAGGTCTCGAACCTGCAACTCAGTCATGTTGGCGTGAACAAAAACAGCAAACTTCCCGAGCCTGGAGGACAGCAGGACAGGGAGGGTTAGCAGGGCCTGGGTCCTACCCCTGGTGCCATCCCTGGGAATCAGGTGAGCTGAGGGAGGGGAAAAGCAGGATTTCCATGAGTTCAAGGCCAGCCTGGGCTTCTGCAGGCAGAAGGTGACATAGGCCAGACCCTGACCCCAGGCGTGCTTTCATTTCTCTGAACCCCTTTTTTGGCTCCTAAGAGCCAGCTGGACCCCCATGTGGCATCAGGCTGCCCAGAAGGTATAGAAGATCCAAGAAAAAATGGAACCTTATCTCTCTGCCTGCAGCCAATGCCAGGCGAGCTAGGCCTGCAGCAGAAGGGGCGGCTAGGCAGGACCCTGGGCTGGTTATCTCAGCCTGTGGAAACAGACTACGCCCAACTCTCCTCCTTTAAGAACCCCTTTGCTTCCCCAGCTTGGTGCCCCACAGGAAACCCAGCCATCATTTTTGCCTGCCCTGCCCACACTCTAGGGGAGCGGGTCCAACCCTTTCTCCTCCTTGCTGTCTCGGCATCCACTCAGCCTGAAGCTCCTGCCACCTGAACAGGCTAGGCTCTCCCACTCCAATCCACACTCTAAATGGCCGGTAATGTTACTCCTCCACCACTCAGAACAAGCCCAGCCTTTACCAAGACTGTCAACATGCCCACTCTCCTGTCCTGCCTTTCTCTTCAAATCCATCTACAGTCCAGCTTCATTGTCACACACACACATTCTGCTCCATCACAGCTTTGCCCTACTGTCTCTTCCAAACCACTTCTCTATAGAACACCCCTACTCATTCTTCAAAACCCAGCTTATCTCAAACTATGGGCTCCCTTAGAACAGCTCCTATCAGACCAAATCATTGGGTGGAGTGGTTCACACCTGTAATCCCAGCACTCAAGAGGCTGAGGCAAGCACATTCCCTGAGTTTGAGGCCAGCCAGGACTTCGGGACACTCTGTCTCACAAAGAAACAGACAAACCAATAAAACAGTTATCAGGATGCATGTTCACTAGTCTAAGAGCGCCTTTGAACAGCAACACAGGGACAATCTATTGACTGAACAATAAAGTCAGGAAAGGGGGCTGGAGAGATGATGACTCAGTGGTTAAGAGCACTGGCTGCTTTTGCAGAAGACCTGGGTTCTGTTCCCAGCACCCACATAGTGGCTAACAACTGTCCAGAACTCCAATTCCAGGGGATCTGGTACCCTCTTCTGGCCTCCGAGGGCATTGCATACATGTGTTGTACTTACACACAGGCCTTGAACTCACAGAGATCTGCCTGCCTCTGCCTCCCGAGTGCTGGGACTAAAGGTGTGTGCTACCACGCCCAGCTGAGGAATGAACTCTTTTACACACATCCATCTCTCCCCAAACTCTTCCTCCCCATCCTCCTCACTAGCATAATCACAGCTGTGGGGAGCTCTGTGATTTGCTACCATACAGTGGGCTCTGCTTTATAGGTGGAAGTCAGGGCCCCGCAGGACCCTGAGTAACAGCCTGGGGTCTGGCCACCAATTGACTCCTTCACTCACTAGTGCCCTGACCTTGAGACTAACAAGGGGGCCTGCTTGCCAGGGAGGTGTCTTCAGAATAGAAGGAAACAGTCTACGCAGCATGCCAGCATATGGCAGGCATTGAGTGCCAGCTGTTTACTCTCACAGGAATCGGGCAGAGTGGAGCCTGGAAGCTGTGTGCCTCATCACTGCCCTCAGCTTAGAGCAGTGGCAAGTCCCCTGAACACGGTCCTCCCCTTGACTCTATCTGGATGCCTTTGCTGCAAAGCCTCCAAGGTCCAGGACACCCTGCAGCTCAGTCTGGCACCATTGCAGGCTCTGAGCCCTTCATGGGGGAAGAAGGAAGGCAATTGGATCTCCCTGGCCTCTCCCATCCCACTTACTCCTTCCTCCGGGACAGCAGCAGGCAGTCATTGAAGAGGTGCAGGTACACGGCCTTGCTGGACAACTTCAGCTTGGCTGGTGGCGCTGCAGGCAAGGGGGCCAGCTCCACCAGCTCCCCATGTCGCACCAGCCAGCGGGCCTGTGAGATCAGCGGGAAGATCTGGGGGAAGGGGTAAGCAACAGGGAAGCCAGGTGAGGATGGGGATGTTGGTGAGTGAAGGACAGCGAAGGGAGGTCATGGGCAGTGAGCACTGGCCCGGCCCCCAGGGGGAGGAGGGAGCAAGGGCTGTCCCTTACCTTGCCCTCAAAGTGGATCTTCTTGCTCAGGTGGATGAGCTCCTCCGTCCTTTTCATAGACTGCACGCTGGCGTTGCACTCCTGCACCAGCTGGACATGGGGTGTAAGGGGTTACCTAGGCTCCCAGAGCTCCACTCCAGAACCTACCTGGGGACCAGAGACTGTGGCTGGGAGCTCTCAGCAGCACCCCAAGAATGGGAGAGGCCCTGGGGAGCCAGAAGCCCTCAAAGCTGAACTCACCTCCTTGAGAGCACTGAAGGCCTTACTGGCCATGTCCTCATCTTGGGAGCCCTGTGCTGTCCTCTTCAAGATGTTCTGGGGGGAAGGGGAAACATTTCTTCAGTGGTATGACCACTGGTAAAGCACCCATGCTCCTGTAAGTAACCCCTCATCCATGCTCCTGTAAGCAACCCTATTGAAACCCATTGGGTCACACACGCACACGCACAAACATGAAAGCTGGTGTGAAGAAAAACTAACATGCAAACTAATCCCAGCACTTGGGAAGCAGAGGCAGGAGGATCTCTGTGAGATGGAGGCAGCCTGGTCTATATAATGAGTTCCAAGCCAGGGAAACTGTCTTAAAAAACAACAAAGGAGCTCAAGAGATGGCTCAGCGGTTAAGAGCACTGGCTGCTCCTGCAGAGGATCTACATTCTGCTCCCAGCACCCACGTGGCAGCTAACAACCTTCCATAACTCTAGTTTCAGAGGATCTGATGCTCTCTTCTGACCTCTTCAAGCATTACACAACATGGGTGCACTTATGTGCAGGCATATAAAATAAAATACACATAAAATAAAAATAATAAAATATTAGGCTGGGTGTGGTGGTGCATGCCTTTAATCCCAGCACTCCGGAGGCAGAGGCAGGCAGATCTCTATGAGTTCAAGGCCAACCTGGTCTACATAGCAAGTTCCAGGCCAGCTGGGACTACAGGGAGACCCTGTCTCAAAAAGACAAAAAAAATAAAATAAAATACTTAAAAACAACAACAACAAAAACAAAGAAGGCTGTCTGGGAAGAGGGAGAAGGGATCTGTGAGACGGGACAAGAGAGGATAATGAGATGAATGTGATCAAAATACATTATAGATGTATGAAAATGTCATAATAAAAATCATATGCAGAATTAACATATGCCTGTCAATAAAACAAAGAATAACTTAGGACAACAGCCGCAAAAATTGGTGATCTGGAAGGAAACATCAGAGTGCTGGCATGGGCCGGCCTTCCACTCCACCCTCCCCCTCCACCCTCCCTGTCATTTATGTACCTCCACCAGCATCTTGAGGCGCGTAATCCTCTGGAAGGGTAGGATGAGGAAGGAGGTGAGGGGCAGCCGCTGACACACAGGAGACTCCTCCAGGCGAGCCAGGATGCCAGGGAACTTGGGGTTCTCCAGGCTGGACAGTGGGCAGGAGTGTACAATTACAAGTGGGACTGACTCCTTGAGATCCCTCCTCACTGGTCTGCAGGTGTCTCTCAGCCCACCTGCCCTGTGGGATTGGTGTGCACAGAGCTTCTTCCAGGAAGTCCTCCCATCCCAGATTCACACAGCCTCCAGTTCCCACCCCAGAACCCCTCCTACAGCAGGCGCTGGTAGGTGCGCTCCTGGTAGGCCTGGTTGGTGACATAGGGCAGGTAGACGCGGCGGAAGGCAGGACAGTGGTATAACACCACATCACACACGCTGAAGCGCAGCACATCTGCTTCTAGACGCTGTTCCAGGTCCTGCAGGAACCTGAGAAGTGGGCCTAGGTGAAGTCTAGGCCAGAAACCCCAGGTCTGGAAACTCACCCAACCACAGACCTGTGTGCCCACCCTCAATCAGGCAAGGCCACTCCCTCACCTCTCACTGGTGCACTTGACCTCCGGCAGTTTGGAAAATAGCCACTGCTTGTCTTGAGCCCCCAGACACTCGTTCAGCTCCACGGAGCCTAAGAAGTGGCCCACGGCCACCGATAGGCTATGGATGTAAGAGGCTTCGGAGGTGATGAGCTCAAACTTGGCCTGAGGGAGGGTGGATGCCAGAAGGTAAGGGCAGAGCCTGCCCACCCTGGACCCGGGCTTCCAATCTCCCACCTAGATGCCTCCTCGGTAGACACCTTGTCCCTCTCCCTTCCCTAACCCTAGGGTAATCTGGAGCCAAGTGAGGCCTGGGTCCAGCCTCCTACAGTTTAGCAGGAGCCCTTTGCCTTCCTGTAACTATGTGCACCGGACACGCCCACATCCTCCGGGGCCTGCCTTGGTGCCCCCTACCCCCCACGAACCTCTCCCCACCTCGCCCCCAACAAATGAGGATGGGCCCTGTTCACGTCCTAGCCTCGCCCTCTGCCAACCCCTCTCTGACTTCCTCATCCACGTCCTGCCAACTTTACTCTCCCAGGTTCTCCCATCCTCTAGAATGACCACCCCTGGTCCCAGTTGAATCTCGGAGTCACTAGCTTCTGGCCCTACCCATCTCCTGGATTTCGACCCCCCTCCAAAGTCCCCTCTTGATTTCCCCTCTGGTTTCCTGGGTCCCTCCCACCGGACTCCAGCGCATTGACAGCGCCTCATCCTGGCTGATCCCCCAGGATCACCTACCTTTGGTCCCGCCCCTCAAGTGGCCCTCATCTCCCGTCCTAGGCTCCGCCCCCTCCCGACCCTGTCTTGGCTTCCGGTCCAGTCAGTCTTTCCCAGGTCCTCTCACTCACCCTTGGTCCCCACTAGGTCACCGCATCTCCTGCCTCTGGCACCGCCCTCTTCTGGTCCCTCGCACTCTGGCTCCGCCCATCTCTGGGATAGATTTGACACCCCGCCCCTCACTTCCACATCCCTCTCTTGAATTATCCACTGGCTTCTCAGGTTCTCCCATCCACCCTAGGTGTCCACAACCCCTGGCCCCAGCTAGGTCCCGGTACCACCTGCCTCTTGCCCGGCCCCTTCTGCTCCTTCCCACATTGGCCCCGCCCTCTTCTGGTTCCTCGCACTCTGACCCCACCCATCTCTGAGTTTTGACCCCTCCACCCCACCCTCCTGGTTTATTCCCTGGCTTCCAGGTCCTCCCATCCTCCCTAGCGCCCACAACCCTGGCCCCCACCAGGTCCCGGGCATCACCTGCCTCCGGGCCCGCCCTCTTCTGGTCCCTCGCACTCTGGCCCCACCCATCTCTGGTCTAGACCCCGCCCCTCACTTCCACATCCCTCTCTTGAATTATCCACTGGCTTCTCAGGTTCTCCCATCCACCCTAGGTGTCCACAACCCCTGGCCCCAGCTAGGTCTGGGTACCACCTGCCTCTGGCCCCGCCCCTCCCCGCAGCCCACCTCTTGCAGCTTGCAGTCGCGCAGGCTCAGCGTGGCCAGGACGCCGCTGCCGCGCACGTCGGGGATGTCCTGCCACAGGGAGAAGGTGGAGCCTCGTGCCGAGCGCTGGGCCCGGAAGGAGCTGCTCGGGGAGAGGTTGGCGCGCGGCGGCCCGGGCCCCTCCTCCGCGCCCTCCGCCTCGTCCCCGGGGCCCTCCTCCTCGCGCTGCTGCCGCCGCAGCTCGCGGGCACTGGCCACGTCGCTGTATTCCTGGTAGAGGACAGCTGGGCGGGGAAAGGGGAGAGGGAGGGTCAAGGGGGAGGGCCCGGCTCCTCCCCGGGTCCCCTCCATCCCGGCTCCGGGAGCCGGCCTCCCTTAACCAGCCTTGTGAGGTTCGGATGCAGGGACAGAAGGCTCTTGCATCCATTCCATAAACACTAATTGAGCACCACCTGTATGCCAGCCCACCTGCTGGACACTGAGGATTCGGTTCCCTTCTTCTCACACTATCTCTACCTCCCACCTTCCCAAATGTGGGCTCCCCCGTTTCCAACACCCCAGCCCCTTCCTCCATGAGCCCTCGCAGCGACTCTGCACCTACAGTTAAGAAGGAAGCGGGACTGACGCCGCTCCTTGGCGCTGCTGGGATCCCGAAGCGGCTCTTCCTGCGTGTCCAGCCTAGGAAAGAGGGTCAGGACCTTTTTGTCTGTCTGTAACCTATCCTACCCCGAACCTAAGCACGGGAGAGAGAGGTGGGTACCTGGGCTCCAGCAGGCCATCATGGGCCTCGATTGGGTTGACAGGGGCTGGCAGCGACACACTGTCCACCCTCGTTTCTGCTCTTCGGGACTCTCTTACAGGTGGTTTTCCTAGAGAAGGCAAAAGCTGGGGGTGGGCACCCGGGCAACCCCAGCTGACCACTCAAAGGTGTTAACACGGGTGGCTGGGCTGTGCCCCACCCGCCTGGCTTGGGCTGCTCCCAGATCGAGGATTCGAGAAGCTGGTACCTTCCTACCTTCCCGAGTGGCTCCAGCACCTGAACCTGTGGTCAGAGCCCTGGCCGCGGCGCTCCTCCCCAGGCGCAGAGAATAGTGTAGCCGGGTCATCAGCTCGGAGGCTGAGAAGCGCCTTCGCTCAGAGGCCTCCAGGCCCCCTCGGGTGTTCCCAGATAACTCCAGTGGCCTGGACTCCTCTGTACCCAGAAGCGGCTCCTGTGCAGCCTGTCCAGTCTCCAGAAAGCCGGAGGGGGCCTGAGGGGTGGCAGTGGCCTCTTCACTCTGGTACACTCGCATCTTGCGCCCTGGGGGTTAGGGGTGAGAGCAGACTGTCACCCACTTGGGGTCTGTCCCATCCTCTTCCTTACTGTGGTCCTGTGACCCTGAGTTTCAGACACCATGCCCAGGGACAGACAGGCCTCTGATGCCCAGGACAATAGAGTCCACAAAACGTTCACAGAGAGCACAGGCCCTCACTGCAGAGGGCAATGGGGCCAGGATATCCTCGGTGGACTGGAGTTGTTTTTAACCCTGGCCTTTCACTTGGCCTCTGTGAACCATTTTTCCCTTATCACTAAAACCTTCCACTTTTCCTAACTTTGGGGACACTGTGGAGTTTAAAGAGTTTGGAAAGAGTCACCAGCCCAGCCCCTCCCCTATCTGTCCCAAAGTGCCACCCCCCCCACCACCACCAGGGTGACTCACAGGCTGTCTTCTTTTCTGAGCCATGGCTGGCCCGGCGCTGTGGCTGTGAGTGTTGAGAACTCCAGGGTCTCTCCAGAGCTGGGGGCTGGGCACCAGGACAGTGGGGCCAGCTGCCAGCCCTGCTGGGTCTCATCCCCCCACTGGTGGAGATCTCTATATCTAAGCCTCCTGGGGATGGTGGCCATAGCAGTCCTTGGAGAGGGGCAGGGGTTGCCAGGGACCAGCGGCTGCCAGGAGCTCGTAGCTCCTCTGGGGTGGAGGGGAGAAGATCCGCACACACAGGGCTTGGGGGCTGCAGGATGGGCAGTTCTACAAAGGACAGACTTTCCTGCTGGTACACAGCTACTGGGCGTCGGGTGGTGCCAGGTGGCCCAGCCAGGTGGGGCTGGAGGGTCGCAGGTGGCCCACAGTCCATTCCTCCTTTGCTCTGCCACCCACCTGGGTCTACAGGAGAGAAAGTATCAGACCCTGGACAGACCCTTGTGTATACATGTGTTACACAGTTGCACAAACTCACATGTCTACCTAGTAACAGCCAGTACTTACTTGGTTGGTACTTTCTAAATTAAGTAAGCACCCACCTAGCACCCACATCTCATTTAATGCTCATAAACTTGAAGCACTCATGCTGTTACCCCCATTTGATAGCTGAGGAGTGAGGCACATAGGTCATTATCTGGTAAGTGGAACCAGGTGTCACAACTTGTACATTCCCTAACACACTGACACATGACCAGACATATGGATGTATCCATGTCACAAATTCATGTCCCAACACAGCCACACACATTTTCTTCAGTATATACCAGCACACATACTTTCATAGATACCCTCAGACAGTTCAAATTTAGAAGGACACATTTTTTTTACACAGGCTTAGACGATGGTGATGACACATACTGACCCATTGACTTTGACACACACCCAAGCCTTTTCATACTGTTCTAGGCACACTATTTTGGCCTGGGGTTGATGGACCTGGGGCTGTGCTGGTCTTTCTCGCCAGCCTCCAGCATGACTCCACTGGGAGCCCTCAGAACCATCCTTCATCTTTGCCTCACATCTTGCCAGCTCTTTGAAACACCTCAGCCCAGGAAGAATGTCACATTGGAAGATGCCATATGGGGGGACAAATGTGACACACAGAGAGACCCCTTCCTGTCCCCATTTCTGTCTGCAACCTCAAGCCCCCATATGACACAAGCACACACACACACACACACACACACACACACACACACACCAGGATGCAGATACATGGATACATAGAGACCTTCATAGCTTTGTTTTGGGGTTAGTTACCCTACATACTTCCATATTCAGATTTGTGGCCTTCACGCTGAGTGATGCCCACACCCTTTCCAGGCTGGCTAGGAAGGTTAGAGACTGGCAGGCAGGTCACCATCCAGATTAGACCCTCCCAGGGAAGGGCAGAGAGGTGCCCAACCCCCAGCTTGGGGTGACAGAAGGGTTTATCCCCACCCCAGCTCCCAGCCCCTAGATCAGGCCAGGCAGAATGGGCCTGTTCTAGGAAGGGTGCCATCCCTAGGCAGTCTGCCAGTGCCCCAAGACAGAACTATGAGCCAAGGGGTCCAAGCCCCTCCAGGCTTTTCCTTGGGGCTCTCTGTGACCTCCCTCTTGCTCCTCACCTCTCTAGCGGAGGCCGGAGCCTGCTGCTGATGCTGCCGGGCTTCTCCAGCAGGGGAAACCCTCTCTCTGCCCAGCTGGCTGGGGGAGATCCCACCCAGACAAAGAGTTTGATTCATCAAACCCTGTGGTGAGGCAAAGAGAGGGAGGGAGGGAACAGGCAGCGGGTTGGGGCTGGGCGGGGGCCTACCCTTGCCTGGCTGAGCTGTGGGCAGGCTGGGTAGCAAGGACCCCCTCCCCAGGCCCTTCAGACCAAAGGGGCAGTGCCCAGTTTGGCAGGGCCAAGAGACAGAAACAGGAGGGAGAACCAAAGAAATGAAGGCCTTGGAGAGGTGCGATCAGAAAGAGACTCAAGACACGGAAGCGAGAAACCACAGAAAGTTGAGACACTGGAGACCCAGAGACAGAGACAGAGACATAGAAAATTTCAGACAGTTTAAATACTCAGGCAGGCGGGAAGCCCAGAACAAAAACAGGGAGACAGATGGACAAACAGCTCATGCCCCATGGGGCTGCCAGTCTGGTGGGAGAGCCAAAAACAAAAGCAGTTATAATCTGGGTTGGCAAGAACCAAGCCACAGGCACTAGCACAGTAGGAGGCTGGGCCCAACCCAATCCCAGTATGCCAGGAAGACTTTCTGGAGGAGGTACCAGCATACCGCTGCAAGACTGAAATGCTCATGGATCCAGTAGCATACAGAGACAGGAAGTGATCCCTGGTCTGAAAGAGTGACAGCGTCTGGCGGTAGATCCAGTGGAGGTAGGCTGGATATCTGCACAGCCCCTGAGCTGCTTCTCCCTGAACCCCTGGCCTGGCAGGGCTGGGGAAAAGCTGGTTATTCCTCAGGAACTCTTCCCACAAGCAGCAACTCTAGCTAAGTTGTACTTTATTTAGCCTTCATCCCTCAAGTCTATAGAGTGCCCCTCTGGGTAAGCCTCTCTGGACCTCAGTTTCTTCCTAACACTAATATGAGGAGGTAGAGGGAAGGTGCCTTGGGCACTGGGCATGATGGGAAACTTGTCATTGGTAGGCAGACCTCCGAGTTATTTTTTCAGTCTTTGGCTGGTGGGAGATGACTTGGTCCAGTAGCCAGTGAGGGAAACGAAGATTCACACATGATGGGAGCATGTGGGACGGGGACACAGCTAGTTTCTGTCCACCAGATAGGTCTCTTTCAGGAAAGATGTGCTCGACACAGAAGGCCCTCAGCTATTCCCAGAGCTTCTCTTGGACTCTCAAGAATCAGAAAGGGAACCCCTCTCCTCCCATTTTTACAGGGCTAAATAAGCAAATTGTTGGGCCTTTGGGACAAAAGCACTCTCAATTAAGACCTCAGAAGAGGTGGGGGTGGTGGAGCCCATCTTTAATCCCAGCACTTGGGAAGTAGAGGGAGGTGGATCTCTTGAGATGGAGACCATCCTGGTCTACATAGCAAGTTCCAGACCAGCCAGGGCTACATAGTAAGACCATGTCTCCAAAAAAACTTAGAGGAAAAGCCTGCGGGATTAAGGGGAAGTGCAGAGCTTTCTGAAATATAGGGTTTTTTTTAGGGGGGGGGGTGAGTCTGCCTCTACTATGCTCAGGCTAGGGCACCATGGAAATGACCCATCAAGCTGGACTACTAGTCCAGTGGCTTTCCATGATGTGGTCACCCCAGCCTTGATGGGGATTCAGAGAGCAGAGCTGGGTTTTTAATGCGTAGCTCATCTCTGTTGGTATAAAAAGTAGAAAGGACTCAGGAAGAGGGCTGGCTCCAGGTGGCAGGGGCATCAGATGTGATCCTAGGAAGAGACTAGTGCTCACTAGGCATAAGTCCATCTTATAAGACCCAAAGGTCTTGATATCCCCAAGTGTCAAGTGACCCCAGAGGCCCCCCATTTGCTTCCTCTATTAAGGCCTGTATCATAAGTGTCTCTGCAGGCTGCAAAGAAGGGCAGAGTCCAAGGAGTGATCTGTGCAGTGGGCACTGCTAATCACAGAGAGCAATGGGCCTGCTGGTAAGGCTGGCAGAGCATCCCTGGGCAGTGCTGTGGTCCAGGACGGTGCCTTTGGCCCCTGTGCCTAGCCCTTCCCTCCCTGCCTTGGGTCCCTTGACTTGCTGCACAGAGGAAGAGAGCCCATGGCAGAGTCCCTTGCCCCTTAAAGAACAAAAATCAAATGTGTGTGTGCGTCATTGCTAGAAAGGGAGTACAGGCCTAGCAGAGCCCCAGGAAGCTGAGTGGTGAAGGCCAGAAGCAGCAGGCAAGCAGGTAGACAGTACAAAGGACTCCCTCAGGGAAACAGCAGGAGAATGGGCTGCTGACCCAGGGCCCTACCTCAGCCAGGGAGTTCCATCCAGCTGCTGGTACAGTTCAGGGCTCCAGGCCACCCTTGGGGCACTGGGGTTGCAGCCAGGTCCTCAGGGGACCATGTCAGCATGGCCTCGACGCTGGGCACTGCAAGCTCTTGGGTATTGTGTGGGGCAGGGAGGGGGGAGGCGAGGGCGAGGGAGCCTCGCAGAGAGAGGCAGGCGGCTGTCTCAACGTGCCTACTCCCCGCCCCCCTTCCCAAGAACCGGTTTGGCCAGTCTGGGGTACAAGAGGGGGCTGGAACAATGGAAGTCCTATACCTCCAAGAGGCTCTGAAGGACCCCAGACAGTCAGCCTAAAGATGAGGCAAGCAGGGTTCTGCTCCTGGAAGGTGGGCCACCTCTATTCTGGAACTTTCCCAAATGTGAGGTGTGGTCAGCCAACTTCATGGGGTTATAAGGGCCTCCTGGAAGCTTTGCAGAGGAACTTCCACATCTTGGACCCCTCAGGGACCCTGAGACCTCTGCCCCTCTGTGAACCTGTTACTACAGCTGTAAATTGGGAATGCTCAACTGCATGGTTTGGAGACAGAAGTCAATCTTGAAAGCTGGCACCATACCATCTGCCAGCTCCTGGACAGCCCCTCCAGCATAGACACTCTTCCCCCAATGACCCTTGCCTGCCATATAGAATGACCAGTCTCTCCCATCTCCCCCAGTGAAACCTTCCCAGAGTACAGCCCACACAGAGCTCTCAGTAGACTAACTCAAATAGCCAAAGTCAAGTCAGCCTCCATTAAGGGAGGTCCCCGCTGTGCCAGGCAGGCACCTTTGCCAAGCCTGTGGGAAGGGGAAGCTGCCTGCCATATATCTGAGCACCCTGCAGTTGCCAAGCACATACTTTTAACAGGAGTATGTAGGGTGGATACAAATACAATGCCCGCTGTGCCAATCACCTGCGCACTTCTGTGTGCAAAGCACTTCATATGCGTGTATTCGCTTACTTTCCATAAGAACCTTGGGAGGCACACACTGTGGCTGCTTCCTCTTCACAGGTGAGTACAGGCTTGTATTCCTAAACGCTATCACACTTGATTGTCTCATCAGTTCCATGACGTCCCTCTCTTACAGATGGTGAAATTGAGGTTTCAGGGACTGGAGAGATGGCTCAGTGGTTAAGAGCACTGACTGCTTTTGCAGAGGACCCGGGTTCAATTCCCAGCACCCACATGGTGGCTAACAGTCATCTGTAACTCCAGTTCCAGAGGATCTGACACCCTCTCTGGCCTCCATGGGCATTGCATGACATGGGTATACTTACATACATGCAGGTAAAACACTCATAAAATAAAAATAAAAAAATAAGCCAGGCGTGGTGGCACACACCTTTAATCCCAGCACTTGGGAAGCAGAGGCAGGC